CCGGGGTGCAGTACCCTTAAACACAGTGACACGGTTTCAGTCTGTAACACTATGCATCAATGATTTCTTTGTTTTGATAAGTGTTGAATAAAACTGCTGAAATCATGATAATTTTTTTCAGGTCAGCTAAGCTAATCTTTGGACCATCTACAAAAAAGTTCCCATGGTCAGTAAATAATGGTCATTATTCGGATATTTAGTACTTTTTTTAAATAAACTATATTACACATTTAATTATTAGTTTCCCTGATATTACGTGTTATTTTCTGTCTTGTGTGTGAATATCTTGGAAAAATGTTGGAAATTAGTGCTGTAACTTTAAGATTTTATCCCTTAGAGTGTCTTCCCATGTGAATCCCACAATAAAAGCATCTTCATCATCAATAAATGAAGCACACATTGGTTTCCCTGTGAATTAATATAGGGTCTGATATTCCCATATAGCTCCATGTACCACATGAAACAATTTTGGTGGTTGAAGGCTGCAGCATTAGCTCTGCCTTCCTACAGAAAGTTAAGAACCCAGAAGATCAGAAGACAAAACTCGTGGAAATCACATCTCATAGCAATCAGGCGGAGAGGTTGCCATAGTGATATCTGCTCTATTCTGCCTACACTTTTTCTCTTAATTTGCTAACAGAGAGAGAGGGGGGCTATTTTGAGGTTGTGTTGTTATGGCACACAAGGGAGGCACACAGATTAAAGACAGCACAGGGCCAGCAGGTTCAAATGAAATCACTGCCTTAGTGCTATTACTTGTGGCTGCACCATCTGATAAACTCAGTGGGTTAATGTGTCTCATTAGGACTGATAAGGATTATATTCGGATTAATTTTTTTGATACTACGGAATTAAAGCACAGTTTTTTTTTAATCTAATAAAAAAAAAGTTTCCTTTAATTGTTGCTTTGGCCATATTTTTACTATACTATTTGTACTAGTGTTAAATACATAGAAACTTAAAAATAGGACATGTCATAAATTAAAAATATTTTAATGGAAATTAAGAACTGTGACATTAATGTGTGTGTGATCAACGGGAAAACCAGACATAGACCTTACAGAAGGAAATGTGAAGTTAAGAGAAGAGAGTGGGAGCAGTGGCTTTAGGTGGACTACTCCTAGGTAATAACATTTGCATTTTACACCTAAGTTAAAGCCGTGCAGACAGCCAGGCCGCGTTGCCATGCCGACCACGCTTCTCTCCTCCTCCCATCATTGGCTCCCGCCTTTGCCAACAACCAGGAAGTTGGCCACAGGAGAAAGGCATATTTACAAATCCTTAACTCTACGAAGACTGAGTGACTCCAGTCTATTATTAGCTCCTGCTGGACCTTTCAAGTGAACTGTGTTTAGGATGGAGGGAGGAAGAGGAGGAGTGAGAGAGGGACAGAGGGCGAAGCGCTGGAATGAATCAGCGGACTAAGAACCATTCCCAGTTCGACTGACGACCTTTATGACCAGAATTTAACCAGGGAACTGGCTTTGAATTTCAAATCCCTGTGCATCAAATGAAGACAATGTCAATGTTTGACCATGTCATTGCCACGACTGCACCCTTCTTACCTTCACAGTGTGTCTACAAAAACAGCACATATTACTCCTCATTATGCACGTTGATAAGGCAGCTCACTACGTGGGGCATATTTATCTTGATTCAGTTACTTGTATTTCTGTTTTTATTTTATTTAAATTCCTGTAGAAAAATGTGCTCAATACTGAGCAATGGATTTATTGTATGTGTTGGTTTCTATGTGATTACAGAGAACTGAATTCTGTCACAAAGGAGGGGTCTCAAATAGCAGGAGAGACAGCTGGCTTACTTAGTTAGCATTAATGAATTAGTGAAAAGGAAAGGTTTTGGCTGCACCAACTCTGAACACAAGCTCCACAAATCTGTGAACTCAAATTTCCACACTTGATGGCACAATGCTCAATAAACTGGCTGATAGCACAGTGGCTGTGTAGAGTTTTTCAAGTTCGTCTGGTGGCAGCTTTAGAACAAGGAGCTCCATCTATGTAAAAGGACACTCTGGCAGCTATGATGACAGCTGAGACAAATGGCACCTGGCAGTGGCAGGTACCTTGTCTCAATTGATGGTGTATTGGTGCTGCAGTGTATTAAGTGCATGAACGTGAAAGAAGACAACTGCATGTGAGCAGATGGACATTGCACAGCAGACAATCCGACTAGCACCACTTGGCTGATTTTACAGGAATAATGTCTGCGAACAGAAATGACTTCAGCATAAGCAGTAATAAAACATACGGATACAAGCATAGCAACAATGGAAACAACAGCCACAGAGTCTGGTAGTCTTCTGTGGGACAAGCCAAAAAAAAAAGAAATTCATCTTATTGTCTTGTGTATCTACCCGAAACCTAAAATCCCAGCAAATCGGGTGTTAACTACAAAACAAATAGCACCAGTAGCTGTTTAGGCTTAGACAGACAGGTAGACTGTGCTTTTTTAACTAATGATAGGCAGTAGGATTCCCAAACACTATGCTCAGTCATATTTAATTATAATTTAGGGCATTTTTGGGTACTGATTTGAGTATTCACATGGGTGCTTAAGTGGGGGAAACGTCCTTCCAGCACTACTTATGCATCACCCAATCCCATTTAATCTAAGTTTAAGGCATCAATCATTACTTCATACCATTCTTAAAATTTCCTAAATGCACATTTTCTGTTCTCAAGACACTTAACAGTCCTGAATCCCAGTCTGCACTACCCTAACATCTTAAATCTCTCATCTTGTTATTCCTTTCCTCCTCTTTCCTCCTCTCTTTGCCCACATCCATTTATTTCACCTCAAGCAGTTTCACATGATTTATGGCCGTATTTTACTCGTTCACCCCTCTGCTCTCCCCTTTGACTCTTACCCACAACGCTTCATTCTTCCTCTGAGCAGATAAAACCACCCTTGTTTTCTTTTCTCCTTCCTGAGCAGCCCTTTCCCAGTTTAGAGACAGTGCAGCGTGGATCGGCATTAGTGCTTGATCCCCATGATCAAAACCACAGATTTTCCATTGTGATGAGCCAAGGCTCCATTACGTTAAACTACTACAGCCCAACTGTGGGATGTTACAGCCTGATAGGAAGAGATGAAATCATGCCAGGAGTAGAGTTTTGGGATGGAGCATTTTGACTGAAAAGGAATATTTAATATTCAATTTGAGCATTATGGAATATTTCAACTGTGAGAGACTTAGTATTTAATATTGTTATTGTGAGCATTGCTCTTCTCAAGCAAAACTCAGAACTGAGAGTTCAAACTGTAAAACAAAAGCTGCTCCACAGTTGATGTATTGCACAGTGACTCTACGTAAACATAGTTTTCTGTTGTACTCAAGTGACCTTTAATTTGTTGTAGTGTTTTTGTCTGCACTGCTACAGACCTCATTTATGCCCTCAGGAAATTCGTCTGTGCTCCAAAGGCCAAGCTATCCTCATACTTGTTATAATTGTTGAAGGTCTTACAGTATTTTTTTAGTTTTACATCTTTTATTCAATGTTTAAATTTAGATTTAAAAGACTTTACATTATGAAATTACACATACATTTAGATAACACTTATTTCTCTTCCTGTGGGTGTTAATTTGACAAAAATAACTAATTTAAGTGCAATGAGCTGCTAAACAGTACTTTTTTGACTGCATTATGTATGTTCATGCAGCACTTTTTCAGTACGTGAAGTTGTGTGACCCACCAGGATCATGGCAGGAACTGTCATGCTTATTTTAAGCCTCAACCCACAATGCATTGCTCTCAGCTCTGCCTATGTATGTGTGTGTATTGAGGGGGCACGATCTGTGTATGCTGTGCTTATGCAAATATTTGCCTCAGTGTGCATGCAATACAAGCATTATTACCTCTGTGGGACTTTTGTGCATGTGTATTTATGAATGTGTGTGTGTGCGTGTGTGT